CTAGTCAGGGAGGGCCTCTTAGCTGAGTCCCAAAGGATGAGAAGGAGGTAAGCATGCAGAGGTCTAGGGGAAAAGCAGTCCAGATAGAACAAGTGCAAATGCCATGATGCAGGAAGAGCTTGTTTCAAGAACTGGAGGTAAGATCCGGGTAGTAAGAAGGAGAGCAGGACTAGAGGAGACTGGCAGGCAGGCTGGGCCACAGAACAATGTGGAGTTTGGCCTCTGAAAGCAAAGGCAAGTATCTGGAGGGTTTTAAGCAGGGAAATGTGCTCTATTTCACTCTGCTACTGGGGGAGAACAGTCACAGGGGACAAAAGCCTTTGAGTAGAATTTGATTTTCTTAAACAAAGCATGTACTACTCTGAAAAAAATTAAAATGACTTTGAAATACATTTTTTAATACGTAAAACTTGAGGTCCAAAGAGGACCAAGAACAAAGGACTGGAAATGGAGGTACCACAGGTACTCACATGCCCTTTGACTTGTATCCTAGTAACTCATCAAGTCTTTGCCTAGACCCTACCTACCAAAATTGGACTTCATCTTCCCAAGTCATAAAGGAATAAAAAGCAGTTCAGAACAGTTCCGCTAACCTTTTCCCTCTTGCAGAGCACTTACGGAGTTCAGTGATCGATCGAAAAGACTTAATAATCAAAAGGATTAAGCCCAAGCCCCAGCAAGGAGATGACATCACAGTGGTGGACGTGGAGAAACAGATCGAGGCCTTCCGCAGCCGCCTGGTCCAGATACTGGGGGAGCCGCTCGTCCCACAGCTCCAAGACAAGGTGCACCTGTTGAAGCTCCTGCTTTTCTATGCCGCAGACCTGAACCCTGACGCAGACTCCTCTCCACAGGCCTGGAGCAGACCCTGAGGTCCTTCTAAGCACTGAACGCCAAGAATACCTCCTGAACTCCATCTCAAATTACTTGGAAGTTCTAAAAGTATAAAAAGTAGTTTAAAATCTTATAGGACCAAACCTATCTTATTTATCTGTAGGCTATAATAACTTTCTGTTTAGTAAATATCTTTTTTTTTATAATCCTATCCTAGCCTGTTCTCAGATATGGCTTAAATATATAAGGTGTATATATTTTTTAATAAATTATTTATCTATACTTCTTTTGAAACAGGTAATACTATATGCACTATATGTTTAACATTTCAAGATGTGAAAAAAGAATCCGTGTGCTGAACAAATTCTAGACATCAATGTTATGTCATTCAAGGTACTGACAACCTGTCTCGAAAGAGAAAGAGATATTTGTTTCTCCCTAATGGAAAACAAACATCCTATATTGGACCTGTGATATTGCCTATGAATTTGACTTTGTGGCCAGTCTGTCAAGATCTAATGCAATGAAAGGGGTAAAAACAAAAGGATTGAGTGTGTTACAAAAAATCTGATGTTAAAAGCATACATACAATAAAAAAGCAATGGTTTTTCAAAATACCAAGTTTATCACGCTTCGGTTTCATGACTGCAAGCAGGCAGAATGGAATAACTACTCTTAACAGAACCAAAAAAAGTTCCATCCACATTTGAGAAAGTAGTAAGGATTTTTATTGTCAAAACAGTTAAGAGATACAAGCATAACAGAAAACACAAATAAATTAACTGTTCTGATCATTTTAGACTCCAGGGCATCTCTGTGGGAAGGTCAGCTCAGCTCCTTGTGTAGACACCATACTGTCCAAAGCAAAAGACAGCAGGAATTTGAGACAGTGTTCAAGACAATGATTGAACATGTACACAGTGAGGAGAAATGAAAAGGTGGTTCCCCTCGTCCCTTGCCTCAGTGAGGTACGTGTTTAGAAAGGTATGAGGCTCTTTTGGGGGGAAAATGATTGCATACAGAAAATTTTTTAATCCTTCCACCTCCCAGAAAAGAATTTTTCAGGCCCTGGCCTGAACAAGAAACTCAAAATAGGGTGACACTAGTTCCGTATGAACCGCAAGACTATACTCGAACTGCAGTTGCCACCTCCTTTAAGAAAGTTTAACATCCATTTATCTATACCAAACCAGTAGACTGGATTTTCTCCCTTCGGAAGTTTTCAGCCAAATGGGAGTTAAATTAATCTCACTTTAAAGTGCAACAAAGGATATGTAAGGCTAGTGTTTGTTCTGTGACACACAAAAGAGAAGCATCCCTCCAACAGCACTGGCCCAAGAGGTACTACGTAAGAACTGGCTGCAGGACAAAGTGATCCATGAGGTCTACCAAAAAGCAAGGAGATTCCGGTTTCAGCAGAAAACAGAGGGGATCCCTACCAAGGCTGGCTCTTAACTATACCCAGATCTCAAACAGATCCTGGGTCCCCATAACTGACAAGGCTGGAGCACACAGTGCCAGCACAGCCAAGAGGCCCAAAGTCATCTAAACTAGTCAGTGAACGCCTCTATGCCATGATTTGTCCATGTGCACATGGACAGTGGTAAAGGAATCAAGAAGCCTTGGTTTTGGAACAACACAAATATTATTTACCTATTAAGTAATGATCAAAGTTCTTGTGTAGGGTAAATGATACAAAAATAGGTAATGAGGTCCCCATACATCACTGCTGAGGTTTAGTCTAACTTTAAACTAAAGCAGTACAAAATGGCTTCTTCCACACAAGGACAAGCTTTGCACTAATGTTTCTCAAAAGCCAGTTATGTCTCCAGCTCTAGGCTCAGTTTGAGAGTTTTTTAAAAAGAGAAAACAAAACTTTTCCTATGTCAGAGCCAAGGTAAAGGGGAGCTGGGCTCAAGCCACCTCTATCCAGAGTCCCTGGAACAGAAAGGGCTCTAGAAGCCAGTGGGTGTGAGAACATTCAAGTCCCGCGGTTTTAGATTGTGGGCCCGCGGCAGCTGTTTCTTCCCTTCTATCACTGGGATGTCCATTTTGGGTGGCTTGAACACTGCTGGATCCTCGGCCATTCGGGTGGCTTGTGTGCGAATCAGTTCCATTGGAGAAGGCTTCTGGGCTCCTTTGTAGGCCTGGATGGCAAAACCTCCTACAGAAGTAAACCACAGAGCAAACGATTTCAAAATTAGTAAGCAGCTACCAACATACATGGTAAAATGCCCGCCACTGCTCTCTTCCGTGAAGCGGCAGCCTTACCCGAATCAGACTTCTGGAGGGATCTTGGTCCAAAGACGCTCCATTTATCTGCCGAGCTTCTGTCTTTTTCCCCGCTTCCAGAATCCATGGTGCTAAGATTGGGGCCAGGTAAGGCTGTGGAAGAACCAGAAGTGAACCAGCCTCTGGAAGAGAAAGAATGAAATGGTAACACATCCTCTTCCTACACCTCTAGAAGTGTCCCACGCCAGGACTAGGGACTGTCAGCTCCCCCTCCTGGCTCGGAAGCCACAGGCTGACCTCCCAGTGTTGGACGTGGCACTGGCTTTGCTTTAGCCCACGGCTACTGGGGGGGTGGGGGTTGCAGGAAGGGCTCACCTGGGCTTCTGCTTAGGGGATGAGTGGGGGCTGCTGCTTGGGGTGGACTGGGTGGAGGCCGGCTGCTTCTCCTCTCTTGTTATCTCTCCGCTCTGGAGCTTTAGTTTCTGCTCAGATGGGTAAGAAGAGAGGCTTTTTAAAAATCACAGCAAATACAAAACAGCTAAGTTTGGGTATAAACAACCTGGTTCACACTAACTTCAGGCAAAAGGAAACATTAAGAGGTGAAATAGTTTTGGATTATAGGAAGATATTCCTTTGATTCTGCCATACTAGAGTTCCATCTTTTAAAAAAATGTATTCATTCTATAGCATATCCTGAACATCTCTGTACTAATTCCACACCAGAGCTTTCGACTGTCCACATTGACCAACCAATAAGTGGACGAGCCAGAACCCCAGTGGCGGGCCTTCCTCAACTGCCCTCTTTGCCGCTACCGTGCACACCCCGCCATCCCCAGCCTCTCAGCGCGGACTTGGCCGCTAACCCCTCCAGCTAAATGCTCCCTCTGTGCAGCCCTTCCTTCCCATAACCAGTCACTCCAGCTGCCCTCAGCATTGTAAACAGACATCTAACAGACAGACCAGCACTCTAGCAGGGGAGACAAGCCTACTTCTCACTGCTCCTAGGTCAAGGCTTCCATACGGTCTCCGTGCTCCGTGTCTAGTACACCAATGCTCAGCCCAGGCTATACTTCAAACAAATGACCGTGATGAATTTTCTCAACACTCAACATATCAAGTTACATGAGCTGGCATTTCAGCCATCCTCATGTTCTACTCCTATGGCCAAGATGCAGAAGGTGGGCCAGATTCAGTTCCACCATTATATGGGGTGAACTGTGCAAATGGAATTCAGACTGACACCTACCCTGGAAAGTTCTCAGTGTCAAAGGCTGACAGTGCCCCTCTCCGGAAGGACCTGTCTTGTCTGAGAGCTTAAGCTGGACACCAAACCAACCCTGACCCGCCACAGCAGTGGTTTTAAGTTTAGTGTGCAAACATCATCCGGGATGCTCATTACAAAATGCAGCCATCCACAACGTCTCATATCCCTGCCCACAGGCCACTAACCCCCAACTATTCCTCCTCCATGTATTGTATATCATGATCCTCCTTGTGAGCCCCTCGGGAGCCAGATTCTCAGGCAACTCTGGAATATGGAGAAAAACCAACAGGAAATAGGGCATCAGGAGACTTGATTTCAGGTACTATGACTGGTTAATAAATACATAACCCTGGACCTCAGTTTCTTCATTTATAGAACATGGATGTATCTATGTCAGAGGATTAATAAGAAGATGAAGTGAATATGAGTGCTTGATAAATCTTAAAAGCACTATTAAGTATAAAGTGATATTCCCTGAAAGAAAATCATTTGAAACTATTTTATTTTATTCATACAATTATTTGGTCATTATTAACCTTACTGAAAATTCTCCATTTGTTCCAATTTTTAAAATGAAAGCAAAAACATCCCAATTCTATATTTATTTTAATTTTTAAAAAACTAAACATAGAGCATAACATTCCTTTCTAGCCAGTGTTACCTCTGTTGAGGTTGCCTGACTCCCATTTCTCGCCCTCAGAGTCAATCACCCTGGTACATAGTGACCCACGTTGGCTTTGTTGTTCATAACGTGCTCACACATATCACCTGTGTAAGCTCAGAATCTCATCTGACCCTCCGAACTAGAAGTAAGGGAAACAGTAAGTTTTATAGATGGATAAGCAGAAACTACGAGGCCAAGAGCCCGGGAGCTTTCAGCTAGAAAGTGCGACCACAAGGGGGACTAAACCTGCTCTAAATTCCTCGCTCAAGCCTCTTTCCACCACTCTCCACACCCCCAACTAGCTGAGCTGGTAACTTCAAAACCACAGCCACACCTCAAGCTGTGAATGATGAGAGTTTTGTTTTTTTGTTTGTGTTTTTGTTTTTTTTGCGGTACACGGGCCTCTCACTGTTATGGCCTCTCCCGTTGTGGAGCACAGGCTCCGGATGTGCAGGCTCAGCGGCCATGGCTCACGGGCCCAGCCGCCCCGCGGCACGTGGGATCTTCCCGGACCGGGGCACGAACCCGTGTCCCCTGTATCCACAGGCGGACTCTCAACCACTGCGCCACCCGGGAAGCCCGAGGGTTTTGTTTTTTAAAAGTTCCTAAGAAACAAGCTTACGTGGAGTGCTTCTGCCACTCGAAGGTACTTGGTCTCCTCGGTGGTGAGGCCCTTGTGGGGTGTGTAGCCAGCATCTCTCAGCCCTGCCTGTTGCTCAAAACGCTGAATGCTCTCCTGGGTCTGTTCTGGGAACAGAGGAGATAACAGTCATGCCCATCCCCCTCTCCCATCACAAACTGGAGGAGATGAACACAGATATCCACTGTTCTCCCCGGGAGCAAGAGCATACACACTGGCCATCCGAAAAGGATGCCCAGACAGGCATCGTGGCAGGAATTCTGAACCTCACATGAAGCCTAGGCAGAAAGAAGCCTTCCCTTACAGCAAGCTAAAGAGCAGGTTACTCCTAAAGGGACAGCCTGATAACCTCCAGGGAAACACTCCTTACCTTCCTCTCATTTATACCCTAGGACATTTTCTTTGTATTCAGAAATGCAACATGAAGAAGGCAGCTGACATGCAGAAACAGTGCAAGTTCTCCAAATATAAAGTTTCCTCAGAGATACTCACCACCCTCTTTACGATCTTCACCAAAGAGAAATGGGCCACGTTTAGGACAGATGGCACCAAAGTAGCAACTGGATCCAAACCAGAGAGAATGTGCCTTGAACTAACCAAGGTCTACTGATCCAATGTTTCCTGTGTGTGAAACTGCCCACCACAGTGCCTGGCACAGCAGGCAGGACTCAACTCACTATCAGGGCAGTCTGACCCGATTATCTTGTCATCAATGTCAGTTATACCTGGGAATGACTGACAGTGGAGTTTTTGCTTAATCTGTACACACACTATGTAATACACCCCCATGTACAAGAATGTGGCAGCTGAGGACCAAAAGTCCAGATGCCAGATGTCCTTTATGACTTAGTCATTCCCCTTCTAAGGGACTAGTTTATTTCCAACAGAAATAGAAGCAAAGGAAACATACACACACACACACACACT